TATATTTATATTAAATCTATTTTTCTAGTGAGCACTGACTGATACACTGGCCATTAAAGAAGTGCAAATTAAAACAACACTACAATTTCATCTTACAACAGAAAGAACGGCAATCGTCAAGAAATCAAATAACAAATGGTGGCCTGGCTGTGGTGAAAAAGGAACGCTTTACATTTTTTGTGGGAATGTAAACTAGTACAACCATTATGGGAATAGTATGGTGATTTCTCAAACAACTAAAATTAGAAATTCCAGTTGATCCAGCTATTCCTTTTCTATGTATCTTCCCAAAAAAGCTAAATACATCATATTATAGTGATACATGCATACCAAGGTACATATCAGTACAAGATAGCTAAATCCTGGAAGGAGCCTGTTTGTACAGCAACAGACAAATGGAGAAAGAAAATGTAGTATCTATACATAGTGGAATATTATTTGGCTATAAAGAAGGATAAATTTGAGACATTTGTAGGAAAATGGATACACCTAGAAAATATCACGTTAAGTAAACTAAATCAACACTCAAATTTAAATACCGCATGGTATCTCTCATTTGAGTAAGGCAAAGTGTAAACAAAGAACAAAATAAAGAATTTATAGAAGGAAACAGGGAGCTAGATCTTTTGCAAATAAGAAGGGGCCCAAGAATCTAGTGGAAGGGGAGGGAGGGATGAAAGGGAAGGGGAAGTAAAAGATTTAAGATGTGTCTTGTATGAGCACCAAATACCCACAAGGAGTGTAAACACTGTATGTCCATAAACATGAACTAAAATATAATAATAGTAATGAAAATGGGGAAGTGGACTGTTATGGTTTGTGTCTGCATGTCCCCCCAAATCATCATGCAGTCATGGGGTGGGCTTCTAGATTTTTGATTGATCCATAGTCCAGTGCTGGGATTATGGGTGTGAGTGCTACACTTGCCCCTGGGGCTGGTAATCTGCACACAGTGTAAGAGAGGGAAAGGGGCTGCTTGTCCATTTCCCCCATTTGCTCTTGTTGCTTTGCTGTTCTGCCACCATGAACCGTTGCTCTCTACCATGTGCCACCCTGCCTTGGAACCAGCCAAGTACAGACTGAAACCTCCACAAACTGTAAGCTAAATAAACCTTTCCTTCCTTAATTTTGGGCATCAGATATTTTGTCTCAGCAACGAGAGAAAAGTAACCAAGACAGGGACCTTGAGACAGAGGGAAGGAAGGGGCTGGGGAGGGGAAGGGAAAAAAAAGAAGCAAGATGTGTCATACATGTGCCTACTCCCCAAGATGAATATAAACTTCATGCATTGCAAACACATACTAATAAAAATTTAAAAAGATGTGATATGTATATGTACCAATTTCCCAAGTTAATATAACTATTAAATGTTACAAATGTATACTAATGAACATTCTTTAATGCTTTTTTTTTTTTTTTTTGGTTTTTCTCCGGTACCGGGAACCGAACTCACGACCTTGCGCTTGCCAGGCAGGCGCTTTGCCGCTGAGCTAAATCCCCAGCCCCCTATTCTTTAATGCTTTAAGAAAATAAAAGAACCACTGCCCTAGAACAGAGGTTCTCGCTCTATTCTCTGCCACCATGGGCAGCACTGAGAAATGGGTTATAAAAGCACACTCCAGGGCAAATGTGGCAAACCTATAGCACGTGTGCTGCAGGCAGGTGTTCGTATCATTGAAAACTCTGCAAGGTTTGCCATCACTGCCTTAGGGGAGTTTTTTAGAAGTCCAAATTCTTTGGATTTCCATTGGGTATCTAGCATCTAGAATAACCCATAACACACAGTGGTTGTTTAATAAACATTTGAAAATGTCTCAAGGGCCAGCGATATAGCTTAGTGGCATGGCGCCTGCCTGGCAAGCACAAGGTCCTGAGTTCGAGTCCTGATACCAAAAACAAACAGACAAAAAAAAAAGAGAAAAAGAAAAAAGAAAACATCTCAAAACCAAGATTATTCAGCACTGCACCTCTTTCTCCAGATTCTCCTTTCTTTTCAAGTTTCAGCTACACACTACTCAAGGTCACCTGAATATGATGTTTTCGGTACTTCTCCCTACATCATTTTCCAACCTGAATTCCCTACCGTGTATTCCCACCCATCTCCAGTGTCTGGTTCGAGGGCCAATCCTCCCAGAAGCCTCACCTGGCTGAGCTGGGGATCCTTTGCCCACTAGGCACCCTGTGCATACATCTCCTCTTCATTCCTCTCAGCTTTAAGGAAGAGGGAAGCTACAAAGAGAGACAGCAGACTGGTTCTTTTTGGCCGGCAGGACTACTAGTGCACGAGACCAAAGGCCTGCGAGAAGCAAGATGATTCAGGTCACAGAATCTCCAAAAGGCTAAGGATCTGCAGGCCCTGGGACATTCTGATGGTGGAGATTCAGGGGGAGAGCTGAGAAGCCAGGAAGGGCAGCAGAGGGCTTCTTAAAGGCAGTCAGACCCCAAGAACCTCTCCTCTTGACCTCTGTATTTAAAGGCTTAGTTCCCAGGGTGGTGCTAAAGAGGTAGTGGAAATCCTGTGACATGGAGTTTAGGGAGAGGTCTTTAGGTTATTAGTGCTATGGCTCTGAAAGGACTCTGTGTCCTTCTTTTTTTGCTTCCTTGTGAGCAGTTCACTCCTGCCACGATACGAGGCCTTGCCACAGGCCAACAGATCATGGTCCAGAAACTCTGAAGCTGAGCAATAAGAAACCTATTTTTATTTTTAATAGTGGTACTATGGATTGAATCCAGGGCCTTATGCCCGGTGGGCAAGTGCACTATCTCTGAGCTACAACCTCAGCACCCCCTTTTATTGTTTGGTACAGGGTCTCAATACGTGGCCCAAGATGAATTCAAACCTACAATCCTCCTGCCTCAGCCAAGTAGCTGGTATTATGGAAGTGTGCCACTGCACATGGCCCTAATGTGTTTTTACACAAATTATCTCAGATATTTTGTAATAGTGCCAGAAAGCTAACACACTAACCATATTCAGTGTCATGGTTTGTGTCTGGATGTCCCCCCAAAGCCTCATGTAGTCATGGGGCGGGCTTTTAAAGTACATGAGTGATCCATGATCCAATGCTGGGATTGTGGGTGTGAGTGCTACACCCAGCCGGGGGTGGAGTGTTTGCATATGTAAGGGAGAGAAAGAGGTTGCCTGCTGCCACTCCTCCCTTTTGCTCTTGTTGCTTTGCTGTTTTCCACCACTATGACCTGTTGCCCTCTGCCATGTGCCACCCTGCCTTGGAGCCAGCTGAGTATGGACTGAAACCTCCACAACTGTGAGCTAACTAAACCTTTCCTTCCTTAATTTTGGGTGTCAGGTATTTTGTCCCAGCAATGAGAGAAAAGTAACTAAGACATTCAGGCACATAACAGTAAAAATACACTGAACAGCAAACAAGTTTATACTGCTGAGCAATCAAACCTAAGACTCTGTCCCTCAGGCACAGCTCAGGGCACATGCAGAGAACCAGTCTGAGAAGCAGGAAAAACTTGGTGAAAGTTTGAGCCGCAGAGAAAAAAAAAAACAGTCAAGTCTCCTGGCCCATCTCTACATTCTTGGACAGAAGAAACTCATTCACTTTCTACTACGAGTCAGGCACATTGGAGGAGGCTCTAATCTTCTCTCTCACTAGGCCAAGCTCCAGCTGTTGGTCCCAGATCACTATCAGAATAACCACCCTGCCTTCCAGGGACTGCACGGAGCCAAGGTCCATGGGCTTCAGGGCTCCAGGGCAGCTACAAATGGAAGGTGATCTAGCGTTAGACCTGCTCCGGCCAGGACTACAGCCCATGGCCGCTGGCTCCAGGAACACCACCAGTGAAAAGAATCCCAGTCTGAGAAAGGCAATGCTTGCTTTGTGCTCAGGCTTCAAGCAGAGCCCTTAGAGTCCAAGTGACGAGTTCCAGATCACAGCTCCCAAGGCAAGAGTTTGACTTCTCCAGTCTCATCCTGTTAAAGCTTGAATCTTAAAGGAACCCAGGCAAAACTCTCCCTGGGACTCAGTCCTATGTAGTGCTTTCAAGTAGGTAGGAGGGATTATGACCAGGCACTGACTTGACAAAGGTTGTTCCTGCTTATTTCAAAAGTACTAAAAGGGAATGAAAGAGAAGAATGTGACCTGTGTTCTGTTCTACCTGTGGGCCATGAGAAGAGATACGGCAGCCACCAGTTGAGTCAAATGCTTGCAACTGATGTCATCTGTATCTTATCTATCACAGCGGAGTGTGGGATCCGATGTCCAACCCCCAGTGGACATCTTCTTGCTTCCTAGGCCACCTAGGGTCAGGGAGGGGTAGTTTCTCTCATGGTTTAGGGTAACAGATGAAGAACTGCTAGCAGGTATAAATTCACGTGCTCAGCAAGTAAAAGAGCAGGGAAAGGAAGAAAAGAAAAGAACACCAGTGACTCAGGTCCTGGGTGAAGGTACTGGATGAGCAGTTGAACAGATCCCAATCATTAACAGGCACCTTCCTAGGGGAGGCTGGTCGAACTCCTTTCCCTTCCTTTTATACCTCATTCCCCATCTAGTCCCAGCCCGTCAAGTAATAGAGGAACAAGGAGTGTCAGCACCTGGTTCAGGGTTTAGAGATAGACAAAGACAGACAGACATACAGACTCAACTAGAATCTCAACAAGTATACCATGGCAGTGTTGGCATAAAGACGGGGTGAATGGCTGAGGCACAAATCAGGAAAATACATATTGGTACTAGAGCTGGACTACTGGAGAATCAATACAAATGAATAGAATCTTGTCTTGGGAGAACTATGGGGACTGAGGGAAACAGAATAACAGCAGGTAGGAGACCGTCAGGCCTCTACTCAGAACGCGGTCAGAGGGGAAGACAGGAGAATGGAGAAGCCAAGCTATGCATACAAGTATATAACTGCAGGATTCTGGGAGGCTGAGGCAAAATGATCTCAAGTCTGCCCAGGCAATTTACCAAGACCCCACCTTAAAATAAAAACTTAAAAGGCTGGGATGTAGCTCAGAGCAAATACCCTGGATTCAGTCCTCAGAAAAAATAAAAATCCTCAATCCTCACAAAAAATAGAAATATAAAAAGGAAAATGGACAGAGATGCACTGCCTGGCCTGGATAATTGCATAAGCCCATCAGCCCTATCCAATGCATGCACCTCTATGCTAGCGGTGAAACCTGTGGGTCTGGGCCTCCATCCTATCAGCCAGCCCCAAGGGGCATCAATCAGGCAAGGCTCACAGATGGAGGGACTCAGCCTCTAGAATGATGCTAGCAACTAGTCTCCAGAACCCAAAGCAGGGCCACAGGGCACATTCTGAGGGAGCCTCAAGACTCACTGGTTCTTTGGCTGGGGGAGCAGAGCCAGTCCCAAGTCACACGCTAGGAGGAGTGGCGAAGCCTCAGTAGGTACATCCAGGCAGAGAGTGGGGGCCCTTCTGGCTGGATCACCCCGACAGGAGCAGCGCTGGCTATGGAGAGTCCTGACCTTTTCAGAAAGCACAAATCTGCCGCCTCTTCCAGGCCTCTGCCACTTGTCAAGTACACTATTAAAGAGAAGCCTGGGCTGTGCTACAAGTGCCCTCTGCCCAGCCTTCGCCACTGCCAGAACCATTTACACACAAACACACTGAGGTCTGAAGACCACCTGTGACCGATACAGCTTGTCCTGAGAAAGATGGTTCCTAACTTCCTCACCAGGACTCCTCGGAGAATAAAAGATTTTCTTCCATAAAAGGCACATAAGCACTTTAAAATATTACCCACATACAGGGTTAATCCATATGTGGAGCTACCACAGGCCCCATGCTAAAGACCCTGTTTTCAGGAATCTTGTTTCCTGGACCCTATGGCTTTATAAGGTATGGGGTAGAGCCCCAAATTCTAAGGTAGTGGCTCCAGATTGGACTGAGGCATCAATCTCTTCTCCCTCTGATGGCCAAGAGGAGGGAGACAGGTTAACAAGGCTTGATTCCCTGCAGGCATTGCAATGGAGCAGTTTCTGCCCCTGAACGGTAGGGGCAGAGAACTTTCATGGCCTCTCTAGGTTTACCCTTCCTTGGGGTGGGCTGGGCACAGGGGGTTCTTGGGGTCCCCTAGGAAGTCACAGCAGCACAGCCCAGGGCTGAAGCGTACACAGGTGTCAGGCGGTCTGCTCTCAGGTGGGTGCAGCGCCACTCCTCAGACACTGCCAGCTGGGGTCCCTGGAGACAGAGGCCAGCCTGCCCCTGCTCAGGGTGACAGCAAAGGCTGTTAGGAAGGTCCAGTGCCTGGACAGAGTGCCATGGTGTTTGGGACACATGTGTATTTGCAGGGCATTGTGGAAACAAGGAAGCAGTGTTACAAGACAGAGAGTGAAGGTCAGGCACTGCAGGTGTTGAGACCGCCTAGTACTCCCCGCTCCCATCTTCCTCTTCCACAAACTCCGTAGCCACATCTTCATAATCTCTTTCCAGAGCAGCCAGGTTTTCTCGGGCTTCGGAGAAGTCTGTTTCCTCCATGCCCTCGCCCACATACCAGTGCACAAAAGCCCGCTTGGCAAACATCAGGTCAAACTTGTGGTTGAGGCGGGACCAGGCCTCAACAATAGCTGTGGTGTTGCTTAGCATGCAGACTGCCCGCTGCACTGGGGCTAGGTCACCTCCAGGAACCACGGTGGGGGGCTGATAATTGATGCCAACCTGAGAAGAAACAGAGAGTGGTCTAAGCAGCTGCTCAGCGTGTCCTGGGAGGGTCTGCCCCGGACACTGGCTGGGGAAGATGCGGTCACTGGTGTTTGGCCTTTGCCCACCTTTAAGAAACAAGTAGACAGAGCAGACTACTGCTGCAAGGAACAGACAAATCCAGAACATGGGACATTCTATGCCACAAGACTGGTCCCTCCGAGCCACTGCCCAGAAAAAGAGTAGAAGCTGGGCACAGTGGGGCACCCGCAATCCCAGTACTGGGAAAGGATGAAACCAGACGGTGGTTTGAATCCAGCCTAGGCAATTGGCAAATCTCTGTCTTAAAATAAAAAATAAAAAAGGCTGGGGATATAGCTCAGTGTGAAGGCTCTGGGTTTAACCACAAGGCTGAAAAAGAGGTGGGGTGGGCTGTTCCACACAAGAGAGTTAAGAGACAAATCAGTAAAAATGCCTGGTCCTTGATTTAACCTTCATTTTAAAACCTGACTCGAAAAAGCATTATGCTCACTGGGAGCATTTGTATCCTGATAAGGTATTCTTATTTAGGGGAAGTACTATTAATTGTGTTAGACATAAAAATGGACAATTGTGTTATATAACTATATAGGTGGGTTTGACTGGGTCAGCAAAGGAAAAGCAAAGGGAATGGGCTGAGTTGTGAAATCTGGAGAGTGGGTAACAGGTGTTAGCTGTACGAGTCTCTTTACTGTAATTTAGAAATGACGTTTCACAACATAAAACTCTGAAAATCTCCAGATGAATCTAAACTTAACCTACTTAAATACTGGCCTATACAGAACAAAGTCTATTCAATGCATTTCCTATTCAGTAGTCTCTGATCCCCGCATTAAAAATACCAACTTGCCCTGAACGCCTCTGGGGACAGCAGGCTTACCACTTCCTACCAGCAGCCTATTCTTCCTCTGAGCACCTCGAGCTCTTCCTAAAGGGAAGCAGGGTGATCTGCCCCCGAGTCTCCTTCCCCTTGGCTCTCACACTGTGCTGCAGAACAGCTCTTCAGCACTAGCAAGTGGCCATCATCTTTATGACCCGGGTCCTGGCCTCGGCCTCCCCACTCACTGTGGCCATGCCCACAGCAGTGTCACAGTGCAGGAAAGCAGCACATGTCTTCTAATGCCATAGCTGCCACAGGATTCTCTCCAGCCTTATCTCCCAGGGCAGAGCGGAGCCCTACAGTTGAACCTGGGACTCAGCACCCTAGGAACGGGAACTGACAACAGTGTGGGCATAAGTAAGTTCTTTGCATGACTGCAAAAGCGACTGGCAAACACAGAAGTCCTCCCT